CATGCCGACCTCAGACTGACAACAGAACACATTAGACCATCACCAGGCCGACATTTGAGTGGCGTCAGACCAACATCAGACCAACATCAATTTACTATATACTTAGGCTATAAGGAGTCACAGTCGGCATGGAGTCTTTAATAGGGACTTTTAGATTGAGTGGACAAGAACGGCGTGAACGTCCACTGATCATGCGTGTCCATGGTAAGCCGTTTTAACATTTATTCCTAATTCTTGATATCAGGAATTGGATTCTCGATATCAATATATGATTTGCTGTTGTAAAGCAAAGGTAATTTTTGATATCAAGAAATGATTGTCTGTTGTAAGGCAATGGTAATTCGTGATATCAACAATTTAATTCTTGATATCAAGAAATAGGAATAAATGTTAAACCGGTTTGCCCTAGACACGCATGATCGATGGACGTTCACGCCGTTCTCGTCCACTCAATCTAAAAGTCCCTAAAGGAGTCGGTCAAGGCGGTGTGACTGAGATGAAGACCCCATTTCCACCAAAGGGACCAACACGAGACTGAAACCAGATCGAACATAAAGATAAATGAGACTGAACGGCAAAGAATCAGTCGGTTTGGGTGTCGGTTTTGCGGTGTGACTGGTGACTGCGGTGTGACCAGGACTATTGTTTATTGTCCAGACTAGATCTTTTGAACCAGAAACGAGTGAAATCTCTTCTCGTTGTATAGAGCCAGTTTCATTCTATCAGTCCCTTTCATAAAGATGAATAGGAAAGCATTGGAGTGTAAGGATGGAGGGGCGTGGATTTCGTCGTCGAATTCACCTTGAAGTTTAGCACAAATTACTGCAGTAAAATAACTTTGACCCACAGACAAAATAATGCGCAGTGCCAACACGTTAGATGCCTGATAATGATGTCCATGTATATATCTGATACATATCAAACTCTGCTAAGTAATGCTGATAATATATTGATCGAAGCGGGCTTACTTTAATGTAACAAGCCCTTTACATAGAAAGCGGAGGGCCAAAGCCAGAAAAGAGGGGTTTGCGCGCCACTTCCATACAAACTGAGCAAACCTTGCTTATTCGAAATGTCTTATGATAATAAACAATATTTCAGAGGTGTTTTAAAAAAAAAAATATTTGTACTGGTCACCCCTCAATAAGAGGGGCATCCAAATAGTGGGACGTTTTACAAAAAATAGTATGTTGTAAACAAAATATTTTAAGGAAACCTTGAACCAACATGACTTTGGTGTCATATGAATATATATTAGATAGCTTAGACAGATACCGAGGTGTGATTGGTCCAGAGCTTGTCACGTGATATCATTTGTGAGGATCCAAATTGTTATATTTTCCTGGCCGGTCACTTTTCGGTGTTATATTAACCAGCTGGTGAAATGAATATATTTTTAATCAATGCATGTCGCCCTCTTGAGGACTGTATGTCACCAATTACACACATTACACCATTACCGAGGGTCATTTAATTTTTTCAATATTTTTTTTTCATGAATTTTTTTTTCCCTTGAAATTATTTTTTTCCACATTTTCTTTTTTTTCCCAAAAAATGCTTTTTTAGGTAATTTTTTTTTCCCGAAAAATGCTTTTTTGGGTAAGAATTTTTTTTCCCCAAAATTTGTTTGTAATTTTTTTTTTCTTTCTTGAACTATCTCGACAGATTATTTTTCCGTAATTTCCGAAAAAAAGGGGAAGAAAAAAAATTTCGGGTAAATTTTTTTGGACCCCCCCCCCCCCCACACAAAAAAAGGGCTATCTAATATAACAGTTATTGACTGGCAGGGGGTATATAACATTCTTTGGACCTGAAGGGAGTTATATTTCCCCTCGTGACCATATTTTCCCTCAGCGCTGCGCGCTTCGGGAAAATATAACCACTTGGGAAATATAACTCCCTTCAGCGGTCCAAATAATGTTATATTACACCCCCTGTCAGTCAATAACTGTATAATATTACATCATCTACATTTTAAGACCAATCTCAATGGAATGGGAATAAATGAACATCAAATTTTAAGTTTAAAAAATGATTGTTAGTTTCTTCTCCAAAAATTTCGAATTATATCAAAAAAGCATTATTTTCCGTATTTGGAGCTGGAGTGGAAGAGATGTCGCTTTTTGTAATTTTCAAGGAATTTACTAATGTACAACGACGGTATTAATGAATAGGAGATGCTTATATATCTTTTCAGTGAAAAATTATAGCAACCCGAGCTTAATTACTTGATTTCTCACGAAAACGACATTTTTGCCCATATTATGTGTTTTAACTGTATGCATATACATGTATTACAGGTGGCTACCATGGGTAAATAAAATCAAATTATTTGATACATATATATATATATATAGATATACATCTCCCCAAATGCCATTTGCACAAGAGGCTTCATTTTGACTCCGCTATTACCTGTCTTAAATCAAGGCTGTTAATGCATTGAGCCCCATACGCCAGCTATTAAAGAATGTTGCTCTTTTTATGTTAGGGGGAGGGGCAATAATATGTTTACGATGTCACTCTCGTATGGCGCATTAAAGACCACATCTGATATCAGTCAATCGCGGCGTTACACGTCAAGAAATTAAATGACGCATCAATGTAGCTATGACTGCCTTCACATGCGTCAGTGACGCAGAGAATAACGAAATTCAAAGAAGGATAGCTCGTGTGCAACACGACTGGCATAAATTCATATTTACTACTGCCTCCCGATGACGATCCACTAGATGCTGACTGGGTATAAATGTTTATCGGCTGCCCACCAAATTCAGTCTCGCCCCCTGATTGATTCAAGCTGATTATGCCGAGAACCAAAGCGACGATGCTCACGACAGTCAAACAGCAGACCAGTATCACGGTCAAGAGGTTCCTATCCTGGGCCATAATGGTCAGATGTATGCGAACTTCAAGATCAGGGCCAAAAGAAATCCGGGTGTGTCCTAGCTAGCTGCAATCCAGGCTGCTCAACACTCAAGTGCCGAACACGTAGGCCAAATGAATGCAGCAAGATAATTCGTGAACATTCTTTTTTTTCTCTCTCTATGCATTATTATCCTCGGCTTTATCATCTCATTGTACTGCCTTTCCAGGTCAGTAGCTCAGAATATTTTTTTTAAAGAAAGGATGCCGTTGGTCAACATGTTTTGCTTGGATGATCACCTATGCATTTGGTTCGGATGAAACGCCATACGTCGCGTCGTCCCTTTTATATGTTGAGTCCGCCACCCAGCTTATGCCATATGGGACTTTTAGATTAAGTGGAAGAGAACGGCGTGAACGTCCACTGATCATGGGTGTCTATGGCAAGCCGTTTTGACATTTATTCCTATTTCTTGATATCAAGAATTGCCCTTGCTTTACAACAGAAAATCATTTCTTGATATCAAGAAATAGGAATAAATGTTAAAATGGCTTGCCATGGACACGCATGATCAGTAAAGGTTCACGTCGTTCTCGTCCACTCAATCTAAAAGTCCCTATTGAGTCGTCATCTCCAACTGAACGCACAGGCAGCGGCTTTGCATGACGCACCATAATAGCGAGTTTTCGCACGGCGACGCAAGTCCTGACTACGGGGTATTTAAATGAGCTCGCCATCCCGTACTATAGCTCGACTCCCGGCGCTATACGGCTGAATACCGTCGCAGGTTTGAACGCTACGCGGAAACTTTCGCTCTGAGTGCGACCACCTGCTAAGATTAGCGTTGTAGAAGGCCGCGTCGCCGGTTGCGAAAACTCGCCACTGGCATTGTACCCAACGCTGACCGATGAAAAATAGATCTGCCATGAATTATTTAGGCATGCGATAATTACCTTCAAAGGTTTCTTCATTGTAGATTATGACGCAATGAAAATGACGCTTCGAAATGCTTGTTCAGAGATTAATTGATCAACCAAGGCGGATATTTAATTGTGTATACAGGGTGTAATTGAATGGTACCGGCAAAATCTTTAAACAGTCGCAGCGGTTTACCGCGTCGTACCTAAACGAGACTATATATGCAGGGCATATCCCTTGCAAATGTTGTGTCATTTACAGACTAATATCGGAATATCTCTTGTAATGAGAATCGGGTCACTGTATTTTGAGGTCCTCGACCCAGTGCCTCCCTAGATTCACTAAAAGCTGGAACAGGATAGGCACAAAGGCGTATGTGGATGATTTCGAAGGGGCGACACCTCTTGACCGAAAATATACCTCTCTGTGACAAGCGGAAAATATTTTGACACTTTGTATAATTATGATAGCCATATATTATAGGACGTACATGATTCGTCATCAAAATAGACGTGATCAAATATTTTAGAAGAAAATATATAGGGCCCGTCGCTGCTAGAAAATAAGACGAGGGTTGCCCGAGTATTGGTAAATTCAAAATTGTTGGGGGAGGGGAGGGTGATCCAGCCCTCGGCTACAGTCCTACATGTTAAGAAATCCATCGCAGTACCTGAGCAATTAAAATAGCCCCTTCACCCATGAGTAAAACTATTGTATTGTATTGTATTAATTAAGTCTTATTTTGAACGTATTTGCACCCAGGTTGTAGAGTAATCATGTACTGTTAAGAAAGCTACCAGTTGCCTGATGATCGCTCGCAAGGAATGAAACTCAGAGTAGCAACCATGTTCCATTAGTCTGCTTTATTCAATATATATATATATATATATATATATATGTAAGTAAAAATATTGTATGTGTTTAACGGGTTAATGCTTATACATTATCCCTATACATTGAAGCCTGCAGAAACCCCCATGTAGACACTGTTGACAGATGTAATACACATACTGGCCCGAATTCACAAACGAGGTTTGTCGACAAACCTCCTTTTGTTTCGACAAACCTCCTTTTGTTTCGACAAACCACCTTTTGTTTCGACAAACCACCTTTTGTTTTTTTACAAACCAAGGTTTGTAAAAACGCGTTGAAACGCGTCGTATGACGCACATAAACCTCGGTTTGTCGACAAACCTCCTTTATGAATTCAGGCCATTGTGTGTAGAAAGGACAATTTTGGTTTATGAAATACGAATGAGATGAATACAATAGCACGCAGTATAATCGACGTGATGAGATCACAGTCCAAGGTTCAAATGGCGCTCTATGGGAAAACCCACCAGTACTATTACAAATAAAGTATCAATTCAAGGCGCAGCGCCTAATTTTGCAGAGTAGACACCATTAATGACGTTGCGTACGTTCAAATTTGGGTAGAGAACCCATGTTTATATTGTGACGTACACGTATTCCCTAATAATCAGAACATATGTCGAGTTAGGCCTGCAGATATCATGTTTATATCACCATCAAGATCGCAGGTATACAAATATTATTCAGGTATACAACAAACTCTTCATGAAACATTTAATCAGGATTTAGTGCAGGCTGAATTGCTTTCTCTAATTTGTCACCGGTGCGCACATCACTTCCATGGCCGAGAAACAGGAAGAAGAGGACGTTCCGATCTCTTCACAAGGCTTGACATGTCCACTGTGTCTTGGTATCTTCGAAGATGCAACCCTCTTGACCTCTTGCGGACATACCTTCTGTCGAACCTGTCTCAGGAAATATGACCTTTCCCACCAGGATCTTGATCACATGGTCTGCCCTCTCTGCAGGGCGGTGACGAAGTTGTCCGCAAACCGGGTCGACGATCTCCTCCCCAATGTGACGGTCAACGGACTCGTGGACGAACACCGTGCCAGGTCTGGAGGGGCCAGTGCCATCCTGGAGATGCGGCAAAGGTGCACTGTCTGCAACCACCAGGTAGAGGCCATCGCTTTCTGCAGTACGTGCGATGCATACATGTGTGATCAATGCTGCGTTGGCCACAAACAACTGAAGCTGTTCTTCGAAGGTCATGAGATTGTATCTATCCAGGATATCGTTGAGGGACATTCTAAACCTGGTTGCTCCTCCGAGAAATGTTCCGTCCACAGACAAGAGAACAAACATATTTTCTGTCAGAATTGTAAGATACGCGTCTGTTTCAAGTGCGTCATCATCGATCATCGAGATCACAAGATACAATCACATGAGGACTTCGAAAAGGAAATGCAGGTTAAGGTACGTAGCCCAGTGGCAGATCATTCATGAACCGTCTTACATATCTTGTTCGAATATGTATTATTATTATTTATAGATAACCCAAATGTACACCGTTGCTAAATGAAGTTATAATAATTGTTCCTTACCTCTTATCGTGACAATTCGATTTATTCTTGATAGACTGCAGTGTATTGATCATAGAGATAGATCTGTAAGAGGTCTGGGGAGATATAAACTTTATCGAAATAAATCATATCCTTTCAATCATTTCATGCAAAGGATTATAATAATATTCTATTGGAGCATCGATATTTATTATACATTGAAAGGCTCATTATAATTATGAATTATAACATTGATCTCAACTGTGTAGGATCCAGGATTCTCTATCGGGTGAGGAGTTCACAATTCCGATAATTCTGTGACAAAACCCTGATAAAAGGTACAACATTATCTGACAAGCACAATAACATAGGTTTTATGGAACGACTTTTCTTTCGTAAGACACCAATCACTCCCTTAGAGAATAGTTCACTTGTGGTGCCGTCTTGTGAAATATGCTAATCGGCAGTCAGCTCGTGTGATATTATACAAATAATACACGTCAATGAGGGCATTTTAATAGTAAGAATTACCCATTACAAGGTACCTGTGGAACAGTCTAACACGCCCGATGCGATAGCCGAGGATGTTTGGACTGTTTCGAAGGTACCGAGTGTGGGTAATTTTTGCTAATGCCCGAACAAAATGATGTGTATTATTTGTTAAATAATGACCGGCCATAAGTATGTACTAATGACCGGTCATTAAAATAAATTCAGGTTAGTCAAAAGTACTCTGATTATTGGTCCAGTAAAACCCAATTCAATATATCATGGTCTGAACGAGCCTTAACAGTGGTGATTAAAGAATGTGATCAGAAATTCACCTTCAAGTGAGAATCATTCGTTTTGCTTCCCTACTACTTTCGTTATTCAGGTGAGTGATCTTCTCCATCGTTGTACAGCAAAGCAATCAGAACTGGAGAAGAACATTCAGACTGTGGAGACACATCGTCATGAAGCACACAGTGCTCTTCAGCTACTACGTGAAGATGTCAGCCAAGCCTGTCATACCAAGGTCAAGCAACTAGAAGATAACCGAGGTGTACTCGTTGAGAAAATCGATGCTCTGGAGCGTAGTTTTGATGAAGCCCTCAACGTTGTCAAATCGAATGATGAACAGATGATCAAGAGCATTTGCAGTTCGGTAGATCTTGTGGCTAATGCTAGACTGGGATGTCTTGAGGCGGACAGTCTGGTTGCTCACACATTCCTTTGCGAAGAGATCGATGGCTTGCTAAAGGAGGTTATTGATCAAACCTCTACAGCAACCATACGGGAGAAGGCACAGAAGCAGATATTCAAGCCTGCAGATGACACCAGTCTTGACCTTGGGGATATCTCAGAAACAGATGCTGAGGCTGCACTGGATGACATGCTGAAGGGTGCTTCCGATGACACTTCTGCAGCAACCATAGGGGAGGAAGCCCAGATTGCAGAAGAGGATATCACGACAGGGCTATCCGTTCCACAGTCTAAAAGTCAACCGAAAGTCTGTGTCATTAAGTGTGTAGATCTACCTGAAGATTTTGAGGCGATGACAAAATACACTAATAACTCAGTGGCAATCACATATTATTATGCACATTACATTAATATCTTTAATTCAGATGAAAATGTACCTAGGAAATATTCCAACATTCCACACGATATGAAATGTTTTGATCTTGTCTTTCAAAGTGACATGACTCTATGTGTATCTACAGGTAAAACAAAGGTACACAGGTATTCTCGAAATGGCGCTCGGAAATCTACCACCGAAGTGAGAAGCAATGGACATTTTGTAAGGTTGAGTAGGAGTCAATCAGATGAAATTCTCATGACTCAACATTCAAACTATGTCTTCATTTACGACCCCTCTGGAAAAAAACTCATACACAATGTGCCAACTACACACGAGATCACTTACCAGACATCTGCAACGAAGTCGGGTTTGATCGTCACAAATTGTTCTTTTAGGAAAACTAAATACCCAAGGATGGTGATGGTGTATGACAGAGATGGGAATTCCGGAAAGTATCTACAATCTCCACAGGGTGTCCACCTGTATCACGCCGTGGACGAGCAGGACAGGGTGTATGTAGCGAGTTTTGATCAAAACACTGGACAAGTCCTGATCAGGCTCTATGATCTTGATGGTCTGAACCTGAAGGAGAGAGGACGGTTCAGTCCATTGTACGTGAAAGTAGGCCATGCATTATGTCGCATGGTTTCTCTCACTCCACAAACACTTGCGTTTGCTTCTTTAAATAGACTCTATTTCTTAGAAGTTAAATTGTAATTGGTCCAGATTGATTCCATGGTACCTCTTAAGACAGACCCTTTTGGATGTTACTGTAAGTCACAGGTTCAATATCAAGAGCGTCGCACATAACCATGCCAATACAGACTTTCTTCACGTACTTCTAAAGATAGTGGTATAATGATTCGATGACCTAATGTCACGAAATTGTAAGTGTTATTATAAATACTAATAAATAAATATCAAAAATAATAGTTGGTTCTTGTACTGCGCTCATGCCTGTCAAACCTGACACTCTTGGCGCTTTACAATTATTACCTCGGCTTGAGCTTGGCTGCCATTATGGCGCTCTAGCATTTCAAGAACTTAATTCCTGCCATTTACCTCACCTGGGTCGAGTGTTGCAAATGTTTATAACGTCTTACAAAAGGTCATTAGTGTCGTGGTGGGACTCGAACCCTGAGATCCACATGCAGTCTCAGTCACCAATCGACTAGATCACGACATATTCAAGTGGAAAAGAAGTACAATAGTTGACGGACGATGAAGAAACATTAATGAATCAAGTGGAGAGGTATAAAAGATTTGTGCCATAGTTGGGAATCAAGATTTGAATATATGTTTTAAGCATGTTCTCAAGTACATGTATACCTGGGGGCGTTTCACAATCCTTGTCATCAGTTATAAATGACGGTTTTTGCTATAAGCTATTAAACTCCATGCTTCTGATTGATTATCAGCAGAGGTGTCACTGATTTTTGTCATATGTCATTAAAAAAAGGGTTTTTTGAAACGCCCTCCAGGAGGCATGCCGATATGCCCATATAAACACGCAAGGCAGATTTTTGTCGGGCACCTGCCCCTTTGTACCCCCATGGATGCAAAAATGAGTATATGGTATTGAAAATGAAATATGATAATGTAAATGTATATATGTAAATATATAAGGTAGAAAGTGAAACTAATTCACACCAGGAATATGTATATATAAATATATAAATATATAAATATATAAATCGTTAAGACACCCTGGTCCAGATATTTGGAATGCTTTACCTAACAATATTAAACACTCTGCATTTCTTTAGTCATTCAAAGCCTCAGTTAAAAACATTTAATATCCAAATATTCATAAACATTATAAGGGTCTTAACGATTTTAATCGTTTATATAAATTAATTTAAGATGACTAGTTCATAAACAAAACGAATCGAACACTCACTGCACACACCTGACATGCACACCCCCTCTCTTTCTCTCTCTCTCCAACTCTCTCTCTCTCTTTCTCCCGGCTGCTATAATGCTTATGATAGTGGGCCTCTTCATATATCTTGATTCTTTGATTTACCGCCATACTTTCAAGTTTTCATTTATAAACATGCATTTTTGTTTGTGTATTTCAGTTGTCACGTTTATGTAAATCAATTATATTATAATTATACTATCATTGTTATTTGAATATTTTTGTATTTAATTTTTCGATAAATGCAGAAACATCTGTTAAAAAAAAAAGATTATCACTTTGGATTATTTTCCTTCAGCAATTAAATTCAATATGTGCATCGCAACCAGATGCATAGCATATTTCCTGTCCAGTTTAAGTGCTGGTCCTATTATCTTTCTTCTCTTTGCATTTGTTTTGTTCCTCTGATCTTTTTAAAATTTTGCTTATCAAGAGGGAAGAGGAATATTCCCCATTCCACCGAATCTATGCCAGTGGTTACATAGATAAAATAATCATTCTCCAAATCATTCTGCAACATACACACTATGTATTAGCCTATTTATTCGGAGAACATCAAAAACCATACAAAATTACAAAGTACATTAATTCCAATACATATGTAACTACATTTCAATATACAATCCGCAATGGCGTAGCATTACATGTACACGCGAAATGGAAGGGCTCATGCAAATATACCCTTCTTTTCTTTACCCATATTGAAAAGCTAAAACGAGAGAAAAACGTGAGAAAATTAACAGTGAAAGAAAGTAAAAGAGAGTAAAAGATAGAAAATAGAAGAGTGCCAGGCAACAAAGAATGCACATAATAAGACACCTTCCCCTCGCTCCATTGTCTGGTAATTCTCCAACAGTTTTTCCACATTGTAACACCAGTTCCAATCAACGGCTGGACCCAACTTATGCCACTTTACATGCACACTCATATCTAAATCCAAAAACGAACAGAAGTTTTTATTATTCATCAATATCAAAGCCAAAGACATGCATTTCACTAGTGTCATTTGGGGATTTCTTCCAAAGTACATTGAAAAACGAAATAAACATTTTGACCCATGATTTTGGTTCTTTCATCTTTTCTTTGACACACATGTACTTCATGATAGTCCATCAAATGTAAACAGGTACATCGCAATTCTTTAATCATGGGTTTTTATGACTCCAATATGAAATTTGTTTACTTGATAAAATTGAGCATTTTATATAGAAGAACAAATTAGAACAAAACAAAGTGCTTGTTTCATGATTGATGATCATAATTTAAAGAAAAATCTCCATGCCAATACATGAACTTTAATTTCAGGAAAAGAAAACCTACTATGACTATATGATGGTTATAAAATACTGAGATGCACACATATTGAGTTCTTCGAAACGACAACATCTCACATTATATTTGGTCTTTTGAATGATCTGATAATCAAGTTCCGAAATGCTTCCTTTCTTTGTAAAGTGGAAGAAAACAGCATACTGAGACAATGTTTGCATGGTATATCCAAGCTTGTCACATTGTGCAGGTAGCAGGCGCGTACGCAGGATTTTTTCAAGGGGGGGGTTTTAACATTTATAAATCGGGCCGAAAATTTCGCAACGACTCAGCCAGCCGCTGAATAAGCGGGGGGGGGTAAGAGGTCACTTTTTTTTTTTTTTTGGTCCCAAAAAAATCGCAACGACTCAGCCGACCGCTGAATAAGCGGGGGGGGGGGGGGGGGGGGTAAGAGGACACATTTTTTTTTTTTTTTTATCTCGAAATTTGAAAATTTGACATTTTGCTCCGTTGGGGGGGGGGGGTAAGGTCAGCTTTTTTAGGTCAACCATGGAAATATTTTTTTTTTTTTTTTTTTTTTTTTTTTAATGAAAAAATAAAAAAAAATAAAAAAAAAAAATCCAAAAGGGGGGGGGGGGGGTTTTAGAGAAATTTAGGGGGGGTTTACACACAAAAAATTACCAAGGGGGGGGGGGGTTTAACCCCCCAAACACCCCCCCTGTGTACGCGCCTGGCAGGTAGTAAGCAAGCAAAACATCATAGTGATCGACACAGGATTACGTTTTTAAATGGTTTTCAAAGTGCTTCATGATATATTTATATAATCAGAACTACTTAAAATGAAAGTTCATATGCCAATGAAAAACTACATATAGCAGCAGATTTTATATAAAACAGCTTCTTTTTAAAAAAAATTGAATTTTAGCATATTCCAATCATTTTTTTGAAGAATAATATATATAATAAAGTCCATTATAATGCTAAGAATGACACTACATTTGATCCAAACTATACATTTAAATTATATCATTCCAAAAAATAGTTACACCTTTTCTTATTTAAAGTGCCATTTAAAGAAAATTACGATGTCGTTTTCGTTGTCGGAACCCGATGATGTCGACGACTTATCCATGCTTTCCATAATGGATTCTGCACGTGTGCAATGCAGTGCAAAATTATAATAGCGAACGAGGTCGTGCAGCCCGAATGCTATCGCACACTATTGCGCGCGTAATGATATATTTAACACACGCTGTAAATAGCAGACTTGTCAGTGAATCGATTGTACAATTTCGCAAGTTTTTTTTATAAAGTTTGAGTTCGGGAGCAAGTTTGAATGTCGGCAATATGTCAAATTTGATTCTGTATATTAATTTACATGTTATTATTAGCATGCCAACGAAACGGGGTTGCACTTGCCGCCCAAAGAAAATGTACAATTTCAGTAGTCTTCCCGTTGTCTATCGCGGGTAATTACCTCGGGGGTAACCTAGCTACTAGGAGGCGGAGCTGGGGGAGGTACGTGGGTTGCCCGTTCGGCCTTTTTTGTTTCCAGCAAAACTTATTAGCAAAAGGAGATATATTTGCAAACTAATTTGAGAACAAAATAAATCAGGTTAATATCTTCGTTAAGAATAGTTTTGGGTACATGGAACATAGAAACATTGGCGTTTTTAGCCCTTGAAGTAGATGTTAAAACTTCAAAAGCGTTTTTCTCGGTTCCCACTTTTTTTTACCAGCGCCCAAGCTACGCGACCTTTTACCGGGCAACCGACGGCTGTCCTCGTGGGTAACCTACTGCAAGGGGGAGGTGGGGGGAGGGTACTTGTCCTCGGGGGTAACCTACTAGGAGGGGGATGTGGGGAGGATACTTGCCCTCGGGGGTAACCTACTAGGAGGGGAGGGTGGGGGAGGGTACTTGTCCTTTGGGGGTAACCTACTAGGAGGGGGAGGCGGGGGAGGGTACTTGTCCTCGGGGGGTAACCTACTAGGAGGGGGAGGCGGGGGAGGGTACTTGTCCTCGGGGGGGGGGGGTAACCTACTAGGAGGGGGAGGCGGGGGAGGGTACTTGTCCTCGGGGGTAACCTACTAGGAGGGGGAGGCGGGGGAGGGTACTTGTCCTCGGGGGGTAACCTACTAGGAGGGGGAGGCGGGGGAGGGTACTTGTCCTCGGGGGTAACCTACTAGGAGGGGGAGGCGGGGGAGGGTACTTGTCCTCGGGGGGTAACCTACTAGGAGGGGGAGGCGGGGGAGGGTACTTGTCCTCGGGGGTAACCTACTAGGAGGGGGAGGCGGGGGAGGGTACTTGTCCTCGGGAGTTACCTACTAGGAGGGGAGGCGGGGGAGGGTACTTGTCCTCGGGGGGTAACTCATAGGAGGGGGAGGTGGGGAGGGTACTCGTCCTCGGGGGTAACCTACTGCGTGTGGGAGGTAGGGGTGGGTTCTCTTCCTGGATCTGCCACTGGGGAAGGGTATTTGTCCTCGGGGAGGCGGGTAATTGTCCATATTTATGACATTTTGATGATCAGGCTGGAAGGGGATCTGAGGGGGGTTGTTCCCAGGTTCTACCCAATCGGGAGGGAGAGGGGGAGTTTGGGGGAGGGTAACTGTTCTCGAGGAGGCGGGTAATTCTCCGGGGGGATGGGGGCGGTTTAAAAAACGTGCCGTTGGTAATTGGCCGGAGGGTTGTTGTCCAGGAGGTCCTAGAACTGTTCCTGAGATTTTCCCGAGGTCAAGACTGGTGTCATCTGCAGGCTTGAACTTCTGCTTGTTTGCCTTCTCCTTTATGGTTGCTGCAGAGGTTTGATCAATTACCTCCTTTAGCAAGCCATCGATCTCTTCGCAAAGGAATGTGTGAGCAGATAGACTGTCCGTCTCAAGGCAACCTAGTCTGTCATTATCCACCAAATCTACCGAACTACAAATGCTCTTGATCATCTGTCGGTCGTTCGACTTTAGAACGTTGAGGGCTTCATCAAAACTACGTTCCAGAGCATCGATCTTCTCAATGAGTACACGTCGGTTGTCTTCTAGCTGCTTGACCTTGGTACGACAGGCTAGGCCCACATTTTTACGTAGAAGCTGAAGCGCAGTATGTGCCTCATTACGATGTGTCTCCACACTTTGAATATTCTTCTCCAGGTCGGATTTCTTTGCCTTACAACGAAAGAGAAGATCACTCACCTAAAGAACAGAAGTTGAAGGAAAGCAAAAAGAATGATTCTCACTTGAAAGTAAAATTCTGATCACATTCTGAAATCAAGGCCCGGATCCAGGGGGGGGGGGGACGAGCGGGCCTTGCTCCCCTCCCCCTGACAAAACAACAATATACAATTTTTTTTTAGATTGTGACCAGAAATTTACCTCTTTTTTTTTTGTTGCTCAAATGGGGGGGGGGGGGGGGAGGATTGAGCGAAATATCGGCCGGCGCGATTTTCAAATTTCCGGGGCAAAAAAGAAAAAGATAAATTAGTGCTCACTAACCGGGAGGGGGGGGGGGCTTTGGAAGAATGGTCGCGTTCCAGTCAACGCGACAAGACAAGACACCCCCATAGCATCCTTTCGGCAAAACCGGGAAGGGGGGGGCTTTGGACGAATGGCCGCGTTCCAGTCAACGCGACGCGACGCTACCCACCCTTTTGGCATAAGCCTTTGATATTCACAATTTTAGGCTTTCCGGAACACAACCTGGTAGCCTAACTGAAAAAGCTGTTAACTATAATTATTCCGTCAACAGGACCCGCTTAGTTTTCGTTTAGAGGAATTAACCAAGGGAACAGGAATGAAAAAAAAATGGAAAGTAATGATGGTGTTAAGAAGTTTTTTTAAATAAAGTTCAATGAAATTAATTGCTTTCATTTGCCGGAAAACCCCCAATCGTAAATAGTGCACTCACCGTAGAAGCCGACAAGAGAACTTCGCCCCCACCCCCTCCCCACTCCTGGAACGGAGGGACCGCATTCATGTTCCCCAAATCTCCGGTAATTTTCACGCAACAAAGTCCGGCTCGTAATACACAAAAAATCGGCCCGTATTGACTTTACACACCGGACTTAAATGGGTTGCTTTCAAGGGGAGGGAACATTCAGGATTTCTAAGGGGGGGCCCAAATTTGAAATTATACGAGCCAAATATTGATAAGTAATGGTGACCAGCAAATGGCGTAATGAGCCAAAAACAAAACAAAAATCGGCATAGACGAACAGAGCGGGCCTCCCTTGGGGGTATGGGGCACAGTGCCCCCCCCCCCACTTTTTAAGCCCCCGAAAAGTGCCCACTTTTACATAGAAAAAGTGCCCCATAATTTTTTTTTAAAGTACCCCTTTTTACATTTTTACTTTGACAAGTGCCCCCTATTAATTTGTAAAAGTGCCTCTTCCCCTTTTCATCTCTGAAAGGTGCCACTTTTATTTGGACACGTGCCCCCTTCACCTCTCGTACGTGCCTCTTTTACTTTGACAAGTGCCCCTTTTTCTTTGTAAGAAGTGCCCCTTCCCCTTTTAATAACTACCCCTATTTTAACTCGGATAAGCGCACCTCATATTTTCACATGTGCCTTTTTCCCTTCTAATTAGTGCCCCTTTTCTTAATGATATGTTTCCCATTGAAAAAGAGCCCCTTTATCTTCCCATAAGTACCCCTTCTCTGTTCATTGCCTCTTTTCAGATGCGGGAAGTGCCTCTTTTCACCTCTGATAAGGATATCTTAGAAAAGCCCCTACCAAAATCTGATGGGGGCCCCGTTTCCGTCGACAAACGCCTATTTCCTATTCTCATAACTGACTTTTTCATCTCTGGTGAGTGCCTCTTTTGGGGGGTTTAAGAAGTGCCCCATTTTCACCTCTGATAATTACTCTTTGTACTTTGGCACATGCTCATTTTCTTTCCTGATAAGTGTCCCCTTTCCTCTCATCATTAAAGGTATAGACCAGTACTGCGAGGTATTGTGAAAGAAACGTTGTGGAATCGATCAGAAAAGGTTGATCATTTAGCATATAATGGTATGTTTTCGCTTTGAGATTTCCCTTTGAAGGTGCACTTTTTTTCTTTCCCCTCCCTTCTCTTTTTCTTCTCCCTCTTCTTTCTTTCCCTTTCTCCCCTCTTTCCCTCTCCCTTCTTTTTCCTCTATCTCTCTCTCTTTTTTCTTTTTTTGCGGGGGAGGGGAAAGGCCCGCTCGGCTCCCCTGGATCCGCGCCTGCATACGCGTACCCTTAATAACATTGAGTGGGGGGGGGGGCGCAGAGAACATTATTAATATGTCAAACTACACTTTAAGAAGTACAGGTAGCATAATGAATATCTGCAAGTTATGGATTTTTTTCATTTTTCTGAACAAGGTTTCTCCGGAGAAAGAGACGACGACGAGGATTCAAACTGAATAAACCTACTTATATCTGTTTGTAAAATAACACTGAACAGTGAAAGTTCCAACAATACACTTTATTTTCGAATGTTCTCATATCATTTATAAGATAGTATTTTACCAGCAACATGTGTTCAGGAATCAGGAGTAATTATACTAATGGTACATGCGAACGTTTTCGTTATACGATCTATCCGCATTCGAGTTGAGGCTGTATGCACAGACTCATAGGCCCGAATTCACAAAGGAGGTTTTCGTGCGTCATATGACACGTTTCAACGCGTTTTTACAAACCAGGTTTGTAAAAAAACGCGTCAAAACGCGTCATATGACGCACATAAACTTATGTTTGTCGACAAACCTCCTTTGTGAATTCGGGCCATAGATTCCGCAATGAACAATGAAACGTGCATCATTTTTTTTTTATACAACGAAACTTCTAGATCTTCGTTATTTAATATAAAAAGAAATCACTTCAAGATAAATCCCAAATTTAATGAGCTTAGTTCCGTTAATTAGCGTGCACCAGGCGCGTACAAGGGGGGGGGGGGGGGAGGGGGTTGGAGGTTGAATCCCCGTCAATTTTGTTATGTGTGTGATTTTTTTATGACCCCCCTCCCCCCCTCAATTACAAAAAAAGGGGGGGGGAGGCACCAACAAAAACGACTACTTTCTGCGAAAATAAAAGGCACTTATAAAGGGAAATTTCAAAGCAAAAAAATACATTTTTTTTGGTTTACATTGGTAGATCCCCTTTCACTGTGATTATATTATCAAGAACGATTTCAATATTTGTTTCTCCTTAAAAAATATGCAAGATATTGCTAAAGAAACAAATTTAAGATTTGTGAGGTCGCGGTGCGAAAAATTACATCTTATTAAGAGGAAAAACCCCAATCCTGATAGAATTATAAGCACATTCTCATAACGGAAGACTGAAAAGACCTTTGATAAGGAACATATAATTAAATCGACTATATGCGAGCGAGCGTAGCGAGCAAGCTTTGGGGAAAATTACTCTTAGTCGGTTTAAGTTAGTGGCACGTGTAATGATGGAAAAAAGGGGGATACTTATATCGAAAGGGATGAAGACACTTACTAACAAAGAAAAGGAGCATGTGTCAAAGTACTAAGGGTAATTATCAGAGGTGAACAAAGGTGCCTAAATAGAGGCAGTCATTAAACACGAAAAAGGCACTTATGAGAATGGTAAATGGGTATTTGTCGATGGAAAAGGGGGACCCATCAGATTTTTATAGAGGCATTTATCAGAGGTGAAACGGGGCATTTATGAAAATGGGCATTGGGAAGGGGAAAGGTCCCTAATTGGCTAAAAGAAAAACATTTAGATGTGAAAAGGGGCACTGACCAGATGAAATGGAAATTACAAACTGATTCAGCCGAGGACGTAGGTTCGAAACCGAGTAACGTCTTTCGGATGGTGACGTTAAAGGTCGGTCCCCAGACATGAATAATACTATCTGATTGATACACGTCGGTAAAAACCCAAATGCACACACACACATTAGACCAACTATGAAAAGGGGCACTTATAAGAATGAAAAAGGGGCACGATTGATAACACAAAATCATTTGTTGAAAGAAAAGGGGGACTGATCAGATTTTAATAGGAGCATTTATGAGAGGTGAAAGGGGTCATTAGGAAAAGGTGAAGGTGCACTTCTAAGAAGGAAAAGGAGCATTTATTTTATAAAAAAGAAAAAGGGGAACGTGTCAAAATAAAAGGGGCAGTTAAAAGAGGTGAAAAGGGGAACTCGACAGAGATGAAAAGAGCACTTATTAAGAGGGGAAGGGGCACTTGTCAAAGTAAAACGAGCATCTCTCAGATTTGAATAGGGGCAATTATTGGAGGTGATGAGCGCACTTACCTGAAGTGAAAAGGATAACTTTTCGTACCTGAAAAGGGTGATTTACCAAAGATGAAAAGGGGCACTTATGAGAATGGAAAGGGATACTTTTTATAGGTGGAAATGGGAATTTATGAGAAGGGGAAGAGGCTCTTCGAAAGGGCACTTGTCAAAGTAAATTTATTTATTTATTTATTTATTTATTTATTCAAACTTATTTATTCAGGTACACAAAATCAGAAGTAAATCTATTTTGCATCTTAGACCTGGTATTAAAAACAGCATATTAAGTTAAATAAGAAAGTATAACCAAGTAAAATACACAATACATCATAGTAATACAAAATATGGAAGTATAATAATTCAAGGTCTTAACAACAATGATTCTAAATATAAATGAATGCTACATAATTGTCAACATAAAATAGTCAAATAAGAGTATGCAAATGTAAGGTCTTAGATTAGAGGTTTTAGATGTAAAAAGGGCACCTCTCAAACTTTAATAGGGCAATTATCAGAGGTGACAGGGGCACTTATCGAAAATGAAAAGGGGCATATGTGGCACCTGATTAAAAAAGGCACTTATGAGAAATGGACACTTACTGCAAAAGCATATATGAGGGGCACGTATCAAAATAAAATGGGCACGTTTATAAAGTAATAGGGGCACTCTTCCTACGTAAAAAGGGGCACTTTAAAGTGGGGGAGCATATCTAAATATATTTCAAAGGTTTTTAAACATTTTTTAAAAATTTTCTCAGACCTGCTAAGCTCCACCCTACAAAAATGCTCCAGATCTCATTCATCTTGTGACATCATCTGTCAATCATTAGTCAAGAGACAATGGTATGTAGGTTCACCAGAGCTGATAACCTGTTTACAATACCAACATATGAGATGCTATGTCAGACGTCACCAGGAAAAGAAAGGTTAATGTGAATGTAATGTAAGAAAGAATGCAATTCTTTTGTGAGAATGTGCAATGATGGGGGTGGTTACATACCACTGTCTCTTGTTAGCTCACTAATGATGTGATATCACAAGATGAATGAGATCTGAAGCGTCTTTAAGGGTACGTACCTTATCCTGCATTTCCTTTTCGAAGTCTTGATGTGATTGTATCTTGTGATCTCGATGATCGATGACGACGCACTTGAAACAGACGCGCATCTTACAATCCTGACAGAACATATCTTTGTTCTCTCGTCTGTGGGCGGAACATTTCTCGGAAGGGCGACCAGGTTTAACTTTTCCCTCAATTATGTCCTGGAAAGATACGATCTCATGACCTTCGAAGAACAGCTTCAGTCGTTTGTGGCCAACGTGGCATTGGTCACACATGGATACATTGCATGTAATGCAAAAAGCGATCGGCTCTACCTGGATCTTGCAGACAGTGCACTTTTGCCGCATCTTCAGGATGGCATTTGCCCCTCCAGAACTGGCATGGTAGTCGTCTACGAGTCCGTTGACCGTCACATTGGGAAAGAGATCGTCGACCCGGTTTGCGGACAACTTTGTCACTGTCCTGCAGAGAGGGCAGACCATGTGATCAAGATCCTGGTGAGATAGGTCGTATTTCCTGAGACAGGGTCGACAGAAGGTATGTCCGCAAGAGGTTAAGAGGGTTGCATCGTCGAAGATACCAAGACACAGTGGACATTTCAGGCCTTGTGAAGAGATCGGAACGTCCTCTTCTTCCTGTTTCTCGGCCATTAGTGTGATGTGCGAATGGGTGACCAATTAGAGAAAGCAATTAAGCCTGCACAGAATCCCGTTTAAAAGATTTCAACGAGATCCACTTTTATGAAAAGTTTGCTGTAAACTTAGTGTATATTATGTAGCTCTACGATGCTGAAATAAACACAATATCTGCACTCATTAATAGAGAATACATGTACGTCACAATAACGAGTTCTCTTCCCAATGAAGCCTAAAGTATACACCGGTTATGATACCAACTATGCAAATAAGCGCAGCGCCCTGAATTTGTACTAGTACTGGTGGGTTTTCCCAGAGGTCAACACTTTCACCTTTGACGTCGATCGTATTACGTTGAATTTCCGCTATAATGTGCATCTCATTAGTATTCAGGAAACCAACTTTCGCTCTTAATTCTATGCATGTTATTGACAATGTGTTATTGATGAGCTGAGCTTGTTAATAGGTTCCTCACATTTCACCCTGTATAACCTACCATTCAATACAATTAATTCGACGTCTTTACCAAGAATTGATCATATAATGTGATACTTTTAGTATATTTTGTATTGTGTTCTAATTTTGTCACTAATGTGAATTCTCTTTTGTGAAATGTGAAACATAATAAACTTGGAATTTGAAATAGCGTACGTATCTGACCAACAGAGGAGACACGATAAGCAACGCGTAATATTCAGATTATTCATATATCCTTGCCTTATATAGGCTTATAGGAATGGGGATATCTGCAGGCTTAAAGATACTATTTCCCTTTTGCAGCCAACATTAAATTATGTAGAATTAGGCAGGATTTATGAATATGTCATGTATGTCCTATCCGTGAAGTTTAAACGTTAGCAGTGTCCTAATATTCAAATTATGCAAGGAAACCCCTTTACTTGCTACACTTCACTGTCAGACACTATTGAGTGACTGACTGGCCTCTTTTCTTCTTTGGTAATTAACTTACATAAAAAGTGTGAAAAGGGTACATGAGCATTTGTCTATATCATTAACCCACTTCTTGTAATGGCCAAAACATAAACTGATTGAATCTTTGCGCAGCATAAAACGTCCGACCATTTGATACAATGGTCTGAAAATTAGACTATTAGTTATATGAAAGGGTAGAAAATGAACTTTCTAGAAATGTGATTTTTTTTTCTTTGAAATTCAGATACCGCCCAAAAATTACTTTATAGTTTCCTCTCCTCGAAATGTTTTAAATCACTCATGCGTGAAATATGCATCATATGAGTTGCATCACATGAAAGAGGAGGATCTAAGCTTTACAAATATGTGTCATTTATCAATTATGTGATTAAGTTATGATAAAACATCGATAATTCTCGGTTTCGTTTTCTGGGACGCACTGTATAAAGACCAGGATAATCAGAGCCATCAATATTTAGAACTTGTTGAAATAAAGCGAAAATTGTTTTTGTGATACGTGTACCTCAGTCATAACCGCCAGACTCTAAATCGACTGACTTTAAAAAAAAAATTAGCGGTAATGTGATTGTTTGATCAATCTGTAGTTCATCTGGGGTTTGTTGCTTCCATTTGACTTGGGTATGCATGCAGGGGCGGATCCAGCCGGCGGCATGGGAAGGGGCCCAATTCGTGAGAAATATTTAGCGGTGACACAGCGACACAGCTGGCCGATAATTCGCTCAGTCGGGGGGGGGGGGGGGTAGTGAGCACTAATTTTTTTTAATTTTTCTTTTTTTTGGGGGGGGGGGCCTCGAAAATTTGAAAAATTGAACCCCCTTCTCCCCCCCCCCCCCCTTGAGCGTCAGGCGAGGGGGCCATCTAAATAAATTTTTAAAAAGGTAATTTAACGTCCCAGTGGAGGGGGCCCCCCCCCCCCCCCCCCCCCCCTGGATCCGGCCACTGTATGCATGTTACCAAAGCGTTTTGATAGAGATAGTTGTGACACGCGCATCTACGCGTACTGAATGAAGTTGACTTTGGCGCTGATAAACGTTGGAGAGCCGGGAGCGTCCGGGCTTTCACAGAGAATGGGCGCTATACCACTATACCAGAACTAAAATCCGCCATTATTATTATTATCGTCTGTCCCACTGGGTAGCCAGACACGGAGTTGGATACAGACTAGTAAAGGTCAACAAACAAATCTTCATAGTCAGGAAAATCAAAAGAACTTCATTGTTACACAGGGCATTGAATTCGCTGACGGACTTTGGACCTCCAATTATTTAATGCTCGATCGAGGAACTTCAGAACGAGCCTGTAGTTGCTTTTCAAAAGAACGAAGGATCATTTAATGAAAGTTTATACATGGGGCTGATTGTGATACTATATCATTTCTATCTACAGAATTACTTCGTGTTAATTAGAAAATACTTGTGCCTCCAGTTAGCAAAACAAATGTTCAAATCTGCAATGCAGAACCGCAGAATGGTTAATAGTGATTCATTTATGCCAATGAATGAAATGAGAAGGTACATTCGTTTTTTTCATGGACAAAAATGCATATATACCATCAATTTCTTTATCTTTACCATTAATTTCTTCATCTATACCATTTTGTACTCATGTATATTGTGTGTTGTATTTATTCCTGATTTTGTATTTTGTATACAATTGATAGTGTATGTTAACTGATGTTATATAGATTGAAGAAACAGCCGGATAACGAATGTTATGCCTTGTAACTTTAATAACATTGAACTTGAACTAGGTGAATGTTTGTTTCGATGTAGTTAAAATAAATTGGTTTACCCAGGCTCGTAGCTTGCTTGTCCTTAACACTTTTGTCATCTGCCTGATATTTCTTTATCGTGCTCTCTCCCTCTCCCTCTACTTTATCTGTATGTATTTGTAATAAAGTACACGTTTACGTCTCTTTATCCATGTATATTAAAGATTTGTTAATATCAAATATTCCCCTCTCACTCTTTCATCTCTCTCTTGTTTCTCCCTCGATCCCCACCCTCTCTCTTCTTATCCTTGTAAATATACTAAAGAAAATATCCTCTACTGAAAATCATTACCTTATGAGTTTCATGCAGTGTCATAAAATCAATAACGTCCCATGATGAGGAACATTATGATACATCAAATAAAATTAGTGTATACTTCCTCCCTATGAAAAGAGAAGCTGATACTTCCTCCGTCTTCTCTATTTCTTTGTACCCTATGTCTTCAACTTCCTTCCTCCTTCCTTCCTCCTACCCCTTTCTCTATCCCTCTTTTCTACAATTGTTTATCTCTCTCCCTCTCTCTCTTTCTCTCTTCCCTAGCTCCCGCCCCTTTCATTCTCCTGTCTTTTTTCAAATTCCAAATCTCTCTCCTTATTCCTTTCTCCACCCCCTTTACCAATATATCTCCTTTTATTTCTCTCTTCCCCGTCTTCTTTATCTCTTTGTTGATTCTCTTTCAATGATTTGATATGCTTGTATAAATTAGAATATAATAGTAAACAAATGTTAAGGGTTTATCCCCACAGCAGCCAAAAGCTGTAATATAGGTACTTTCCTTACATTTGAGGGGTACCACAAGGATCCGTCATATAAAATATCAAAAGAAAGACACATAATAAATGTAAAATTTACACATGATTTAAATGAATATACGTTTAAGAAAAAACACCCTTTGATTTGGTGAAACTACTATATTGAGTTATCCCGATTTTCACAAGGCATATGTATGGATGTAAAACGTGATATAAATCCCTGGATTGTTCAAAGTTACTCTAAATTTTGTTACTCCCAAAATATCCTCTGTCTCACCATCTATATGTTATATTTTCTCTTTTATCAAAATAATAAAGGACTTCAAGCTTTTAACTATACAGATAATCACGATGATGACAATTACTTTTAATTTATTTTATTAAAAAATGATTATGATATATATATATATATATATATATTGTGTTTAAGGGGTAAATGCTTATACATTAACCCTATACATTGAGGTCTGCAGACACCCCCATGTATACACCAGACACCATTGCCTTTCCAAAGGCAAGCAATTAAATGCAAGCTAGGATAACGCATTGCTTATTGTGTCCCAGTTAGTTAGCAATGTATATAAAGATACGTACGCCACTGTTGAAGGATGTGATACACATATACTGTATGTAGAAAGGACAATTTTGGTTTATTACATACAAATGAGATGACTTCAATAGCACGCAGTATAATCGACGTGATGAGATCGAAGTCAAAGGTTAAAATGGCGCTCTCTGGGAAAAACCCACCAGTACTACTACAAATAAGGCATCAATTCAGGGCGCAGCGCCTATTTGCAGCGTAGGCACCATTGACGTTGTGTACGTTAACATTTGGGTAGATAACTTGTGTTTATAATGTGACGTACACGTATTCCGTAATAATCAGAACATATATCGAGTAAGGCCTGCAGATATCATGTTTATATCACCATCAAGATCGCAGATATAGATATATTCTTCAGGTAAACAATAAACTCTTCAAACATACATGATTTAGTGCAGCTATATGCTTAATTGCTTTCTCTAATTTGTCACCGGTGCGCACATCACATCCATGGCCGAGAAGCAGGAAGAAGAGGACGTTCCGATCTCTTCACAAGGCTTGACATGTCCACTGTGTTTTGGTATCTTCGACGATGCAACCCTCTTGACCTCTTGCGGACATACCTTCTGTCGACCCTGTCTCAGGAAATATGACCTATCCCACCAGGATCTTGATCACATGGTCTGCCCTCTCTGCAGGACAGTGACGAAGTTGTCCTCAAACCGGGTCGACGATCTCCTCCCCAATGTAACGGTCAACGGACTCGTGGACGACCACCGTGCCAGGTCTGGAGGGGGCAGTGCGATACTGGAGATGCGGCAAAGGTGCACTGTCTGCAACCTCCAGGTAGAGGCCATCGCTTTCTGCAGTACATGCGATGCATACATGTGTGATCAATGCTGCGTTGGCCACAAACAACTGAAGCTGTTCTTCGAAGGTCATGAGATCGTATCTATCCAGGATATCGTTGAGGGAAATTCTAAACCTGGTTACCCCTCCGAGAAATGTTCCGTCCACAGACAAGAGAACAAACATATTTTCTGTCAGAATTGTAAGATACGCGTCTGTTTCAAGTGCGTCATCATCGATCATCGAGATCACAAGATACAATCACATGAAGACTTCGAAAAGGAAATGCAGGTTAAGGTAAATAGCCCAATGGCAGATCATTCATGAACCGTCTTAAATATCTTGTTCGAATATGTATTATTATTATTTACAGATTACCCAAATGTACACCGTTGCCAAATGAATTTATAATAATTTTTCCTCACCTCTTATCGTGACAATTTGATTTATTCTTGATAGACTGTAGTGTATTGATCATAGAGATAAATCTGTAAGAGGTCTGGGGAGATTTAAACTTTATCAAAATAAATCATACCCTTTCAATCATTTCATGCAAAGGATTATAATAATATTCTATTGGAGCATCGATATTTATTATGCATTGAAAGGCTCATTATAATTTTGAATTATAACATTGATCTCAACTGTGTAGGATCCAGGATTCTCTATCAGGTGAGGGGTTCACAAGTCCGAAAATTCTGTGACAAAACCCTGATAAAAGGTACAAAATTATCTGACAAGCACAATAACATAGGTTTTATGGAACGACTTTTCTTTCGTGAAAAACACCAATATCACTCCCTAAGAGAATAGTTCACTTGTGGTGCCGTCTTGTGAAATATGCTAATCGGCAGTCAGCTCGTGTGATATTATACAAATAACACACGTCAATGAGGGCATTTTAATAGTAAGAATTACCCATACAAGGTACCTGCGGAACAGTCTAACACGCCCGATGCGATAGCCGAGGATGTTTGGACTGTTTCGAAGGTACCGAGTGTGGGTAATGTTTGCTAATGCCCGAACAAAATGATGTGTATTATTTGTTAAATAATCACCGGCCATAAGTATGTACTAATGACCGGTCATTAGTAAAATTACGTGTTAGGCAAAATAAATTCATGATAGTCAAAAGTACTCTGATTATTGGTCCAGTAAAACCCAATTCAATATATCATGGTCTGAACGAGCCTTAACAGTGGTGATTAAAGAATGTGATCAGAAATTCACCTTCAAGTGAGAATCATTCGTTTTGCTTTCCTTCTACTTTCGTTATTCAGGTGAGTGATCTTCTCCATCGTTGTACAGCAAAGCAATCAGAACTGGAGAAGAACATTCAGACTGTGGAGACACATCGTCATGAAGCACACAGTGCTCTTCAGCTACTACGTGAAGATGTCAGCCAAGCCTGTCATACCAAGGTCAAGCAACTAGAAGATAACCGAGGTGTACTCGTTGAGAAAATCGATGCACTGGAGCGTAGTTTTGATGAAGCCCTCAACGTTGTCAAATCGAATGATGAACAGATGATCAAGAGCATTTGTAGTTCGGTAGATCTTGTGGGTAATGCTAGACTAGGATGTCTTGAGGCGGACAGTCTGGTTGCTCACACGTTCCTTTGCGAAGAGATCGATGGCTTGCTAAATGAGGTTATTGATCAAACCTCTGCAGCAACCATACGGGAGAAGGCACAGAAGCAGATATTCAAGCCTGCAGATGACACCAGTCTTGACCTTGGGGATATCTCAGAAACAGATGTTGAGGCTGCACTGGATGACATGCTGAAGGGTGCTTCCGATGACACTTCTGCAGCAACCATAGGTGAGGAAGCCCATATTGCAGAAGAGGATATCACGACAGGGCTATCCGTTCCACAGTCTAAAAGTCAACCGAAAGTCTGTGTCATTAAGTGTGTAGATCTACCTGAAGATTTTGAGGCGATGACAAAATACACTAATAACTCAGTGGCAATCACATATTATTATGCACATTACATTAATATCTTTTATTCAGATGAAAATGTACGTAGGAAATATTCCAACATTCCACACGATATGAAATGTTTTGATCTTGTCTTTCAAAGTGACATGACTATATGCGTATCTACAGGTAAAACAAAGGTACACAGGTATTCTCCCCAGGGCGTTCGGGAATCTACTATTAAAGTGACAAGCAATGGACATTATTTGCGGTTGAGTAGGAGTCAATCAGATGAAATTCTCATGACCCAATCTTCAAATCATGTCTCCATCTACGACCCCTCGGGAAACACACTCAAACACGTTGTGCCAACAACAGACAAAATCGCTCACCAGGTATGTGCAACCAAGTCGGGTTTGATAGTCACAAGTTCTTTTTATCGCAATCAAGGTGACAGTCCAACTATGGTGGCGGTCTATGACAGGAATGGGAATTCCGGGAGGTATCTACAATCTCCACACGGTGTCAACCTGTATCCCGCCGTGGACGAGCAGGACAGGGTGTATGTAGCGAGTGTTTATCGGAATACTGGACAAGTGTTGATCAGGCTCTATGACATTGTTGGTCTGAGGCTTAATGAGAGAGGCCAGTTTAATACCCTGCGCTTGACAGTAGATCGTACATATTTTCGAATGGTTTCTCTCACTCCACACATGCTTGCGTTTGCTTCTATCAATAAGCTCTATTTCTGTAAAGTTGTATTGTAATTGGTTCTGTTTGCTTCCTTGGCAACTTTCAGTACACACGTTCAATGTCAAGAGCGTCAAACATAATCATGCCAATAACGACTTCCTCCACGTATTTTTGGAGATAAACAGTTAGTAATGTTGCGGTTGGATGACCTAAAGTCACGAAGATTATATTAATATGATAAATAATGATAATGAAATATTGATAGAAAAATGTTTGGTTCTTGTACTGCGCTCATGTCTGCCAGACCTGACCGTCCTGGTGCTCAACCATTATTACCCCGGCTTTAGCATGACTGCCATTACGGCGCTCTAGCATTTCAAGTAATCATTTCCTACCATGTACTCATTTACCACACCTGGGTCGAGTGAGGCAAATTTTGATATAAGTCTTAACAAATGTCATTGGTGTCGTGGCGGGACTTGAACCTAGAGATGCACAGACTAATAACTTATCCACTAGACCACGACACCTCGAAGTGCAATGGAAGTACAATAGTTGACACTCACACGTGGAGAGTTGTGAAATACTTTTGCCATATAATGAGTGAGAATCAAGATTTGAATATATTTTTTAAAAAATGTTCTGAAGTACATGTGTGCCAGGAGGCATACGGATATGCCCGGAGGAACACTCATGGCATATTTTTGATGGGCACCTGCCCCTTTGTACCCCCGTGGATCTAGCACTTCCATTGCAAACAAGACAATATGATATTTAAAATAAAAATAAATACAATATTATGTAAATGTATGTGTGTAAATACATGAGGTAGAAAATCAAATATGATAATGTAAATGTTTGTGTTTAAATATATGAGGTAGAAAATGAAACAAATTCACACCAAGAACAAATATTTTTGTTTGTATTGAGTGTTCCCGGTAAGAAGTTTAACGTTACCGTCTGACAGTCATGCTATGATGGTGTATGAAAGTGTAAGCAAACAGTTACAAATATGACCTTTGTATAGGCAGCTGAAGGATTTGTATACATGTAAAAATATCTTACAATAAACCGAGTGTTTGATTGAAATTATATGCATATCTGTATAAATATCTATCTCATATATATATATATATGCGTGAAGAAAATGGTCTAGGAACGTGGGACGTAGCTGTACTTTACAATTTTATTACGAGCTGTCGGCTTGTGAGGCCTTCTTCAGGTTCTGAAGTGCAAACACATACAAAAACAAATACATTGTCTGAACAAATATACATGGCATACACACTAAGAAATAGGGGTACATTTGGGGTGCAGATCGCTGCTACAATAGCAGCCACCTATAGGGTGCAAGTCTGCAATACATGGCTGCTATTGTAGCAGCGGTCTGCACCCATTAGGGTGCTCGTTTGCACCCCTAAAGGTGCTCTTTTGCACTTCTAAGGGTGCAAGTCTGCAAAATTGCACCATATAGGTGGCTGCTATTGTAGCAGCGATCTGCACCCTATAGGGTGCAAATTTGTACCATTATTTTTTAGTGTGTACAAACTTAATATCACTCAATCATAGTCAAGCATCATGAATATAGCAAAGATTGGTACGAGAAATACTTTCGGAATAAACCTAGAAATGATTATGCAAATTCAAAGTGTTTTACCTTGCTTTTGAGTTGTGCTGTCAGTGTGTTTACTCAGTTGATGTGATATATGTGAACGTGTAATAAGGAATGTGCGGTCAAGCTACTGACCTGTGACACGGATATTACTGACCTATGACACAGCCTTTTATATATATATATTTACATACATTTCACATATGTATATATATTTCATGTAATAATTTAATTAAATTAGGAATGACCCACAAATAAAGCAATGTGAGCTGTATTGAAGATTGTTACGTTTCACGAACTCATTATATTTTCTTACTTTTTAAGCCCCTAAATTGATATGTGTTTAATTTGTAAATAAGTGCCCTTCTTTGTACGAAGTTTTTTTTTTATATACAACGCACAAATTAACAAAATGTCTGAATTCAGTTATCAGTTATAGCAACCCGAGCTTCATTACTTGATTGTCACAAAAACGACATTTTTGCCCATATTATGTGTATTAACTGTTTGATATAAGTGTATTGCGTGTAGGTGGCTACCATTGATAAATAAAACCCATATATTTTATACATCTCCCCAATATGCCCACTGCACAAAATGCTTCATGTGGACTCTGCTAAATCCTGGAGCTCCTTTATCCTCTTTTCCTTTATCTATACCCCCTTTCCATTCTCTTTCACACACACACACAAACATACAGGTAAATCATGCCAAATGGGGATATTTATCTTTAACTATAATTAACTATGCAATTGGGTATATTGGGATTTGAGGTGTTTTCATAACATTACATTTTATTACATTTTGTCAAAGAATAACAAGAATTTAGCTTCCTGCTTTTATGTGAGAGTTTACTAGGTGCTGTTCATTTTTCCAGAATTTTAAAATTTCAGATAATACACAAAGTAGCGCCTTACTATGAAAATGTGGATATCTTGGAACTCTTCCAGGAAATGGGTAGTAGTCTCCTCTCGGGTTACTTTTAGCAAAATTAACAAACAATTAGAAAGTTATCAACTGGGGATATCCACAGTTGCCAGTGTATCTCCACTATGAAGTTATGTATACATATGATTATCCCCGTTTCACACGTCTTACAAACCCACACACACACATACACACACACACACACACACACACAATCTCCCTCTCTCTCCTCCATCCCCTACTTTCTTTTCCCTCCTTCTCTCCCTCACTCTTTCCCTTCCTCTCTCTCTCTGCCTTTTTCTCTCCCCTTCTCGCTCTCTCCCTCATTTTCTCCCTTTCTCTCCCCCTCTCTCATAACCCGTCTCTCTCCCTCCGTCATTTCCTTCCCCCTTTTCTCTCTCCCTCCCCCTTCTCTCACTTTCTCTCTCTCTCTCCTCCTCCCTCTCTCTTCCTCCCTCCCTTTTCTCTCTCTAAATATATGTGTATATCCATCTCTCTCTCACTCTCTCTCCTTCTCTTTTCTCTCTGTCTCTCTCTATCCCCCTCTTCCCCTCTCTTGATATATTTCTCTCACTCCCCCACTCCCATCTCTCTTCCTCCCCCTTCCATAACAAAATGAGAAAGGAAATTAAATAATTATGGTTGCTTGGCTAACATCAGAATTCCACATCTAGTGTCCTCCATTTTGATTTGTTGTTGTTGTAAAGGTTGGGAAAATGTCGCTACTGGCAACACCAGATTTAATAGACCATATTTGCAATGTAACCTGGTGTAATGCACACGTCTCTATGAAGTGCCTCAATACAAATCTTTCATTCATATGAAATTAATATGTGTATTCCAATAGTCAGAGTGCACGATAATACATACATTACGTGTTGATATGGAGGGCAATCAATAATGTTTGTCTTATATGGCAACTACTGATGAATGCAGTTCCCATTCTGACTTTTGAAATACAATTATCCGTAATGTGAATTAAATAATTAGTTTCGAAGCATTTTACTAGGTATAGCACACCAAAAATAAGTACAACACATGTTATTTGATGATTGCAAATGATCAAGCGTTATGAAAGCTTCAAAAAACAAAAAACAAAATTGAAATCGGTCAATGCGATGTGATTTTATACCATTTTTTTAATATCGCAAAATTACCGAAAAACCTGCCAGAAATGGTCAAATTGACTTAATTCATCACTTTCTTGGACACAAATAATAAATTAAATTATCAGACACTAAAATATCATCTTTGTGGTAAAAAATACAAAAAAGAAAATTCATATATCTATTACCGTTTTGAAAACAGAAGCAAACAAAATAAGTCATTTTTGCCATTTTTGCGAATCTGCAGATATAAAAAAGTTGTGAAAATAACTAAGTCCGTCTAATTAATATGCGCATATGTAATCAAATCAAAACCGAACATGATACATCAATGAAACCTATGTATATCAGACAGGTATGGAAAAAAAAATTTGAAGAAAAATAAAATTATGTTCATCAAATATGCAAATTAGGTCATTTCAGCTAATTATATATATATATAGAAAAGTCAAACTGTTCATTTTGTTGGCATTTTATTAAATCATATATTTATAGATCATATTTACATCATATATTGACATTAAATTCCAAATATTTTTGCAATGCCAATAAAATATGGCGATGGAAATTACTTGGATCACTGTTACAGCTATTTCCTCATATGTTTCACAAATTATTCAGAAAAACCAAACAAATGATAGGAATTTGCAGACTTTCAAATACATCACAGTATAGTTTTTTTTTAAAATGTCAGATTCGAGGATTTATGACGATTTTCCGAGAAATCATTTAATTCAACAGGCAATAACATTCCACAGGGACTGAATTTCAGAGAAAAAGAACGTTTAGTGACCCCAGTACAGTTGTGGTTACCTTGAATGTAAATAACAAATTGATTCAATGAGTGAAACACATGAGGATATTGCATTTTTGTAGGGGAGTTTTATACATTGACGTGCATTTTCACCACGCAGACTAACAGTCAATGGGCGATCAGCGGGCCATGTCACACATGGCTGAAAAGACAATATTCTAATTAATAATTTAACATATTTTCCATATGCCTATAACAATGAAACTACATAGAATTGTAGTTAAAGGTATGCTTGAAAGACATGTGAAATTAAAATTTAAAAATATTGTTCAGTTTTTTTTAAATAAATTTACGAACATTGCTATTTCTACCAACTGACTGCTGTTGTGTGTGTGTGTGTGTGCATGGGGCAGACTGTGTGCACAGGCAGTGTGATCACCCTAATTTTACAAAGACGTATGCAATATATTTGGTTACATTACGAAAACCGTCTATTGGCCGACAGATTGACAATTTTTCAACCCTCATTAATTAATTCATTAGTCGGGGGCAGATGAGTCTTGTACAAACACAATCAGCATGCTTAAGCTGGATTCAAGCGAGTGATGTGATATACTTGTATAAGTTAGAATTATATTAGTAACTATATGTTGAGGGATTATCAAGAGAGTAGGCAAAAGATGTTATATAGGTAATTTCCTTATATTTGTGGGGTACCACAATGATCCGTCATATAAAATATCAAAAGAAAGATACATAATAAATGTAAAATGTACACATGATTTAAACGAATATACGTTTGGGAAAAAACACCCTTCTTTGGTGACACTACTATGAGTTATTCCCATTTTCACTTAACATATCGTCCTCGTTTTCACGAAGTGACGGTAGTGAGGAAAATCGTCACACAAAGTGAATGCAATTTTTTCACTACCGTCACTTAGTGAAAACAGCGACAATATGTACAGTATGGACAAAAAACGTGATACAAATCGCTGGTTTGTTCAAAGTTACTCTAAATTCTGTTTCTTTTATATTTTCTCTTTTATCAAAAATAATAATGGACTTCGAGCTTATGACTATACCAGAGAATCACGATGATGACAATTATAGTTTATTAACAAAATTATGATAATGATATATACATTATGTGTTTTAACGGTAAATGCTTATAAATCATCCCTAAACATTGAAGCCTGTAAATACCCCCATGCATACACCAGACACCATTGCCTTTCCAAAGGCAAGCAAAAGCAAGCTAGGATACTTAACGCATTGCTTATTATGTCCCAGTTAGTTATCAACGTATATAGATACGTACGCCACTGTTGAAGGATGCAATACACATATACTGTATGTAGAAAGGACAATTTTGGTTTATTAAATACGAATGAGATGAATACAATAGCACGCAGTATAATAGACGTGATAAGATCGAAGTCAAAGGTTAATATGGCGTTCTCTTGAAAACCCATCAGTACTACTACAAATAAAGCATCGATTCAGGGCGCAGCGCTTATATTTCCAGAGTAGGCAGTATTGACGTTGTGTACGTTCACATTTGGGTAGAGGGCTCGTGTTTATATTGTGACGTACAAGTATTCCCTAATAATCAGAACGTATATCGAGTTGGGCCTGCAGATATCATGTTTATATCACCATCAAGATCGCAGATATAGATATATTCTTCAGGTATACAACAAACTCTTCATAAACATTTAATCAGGATTTAGTGCAGGCTGAATTGCTTTCTCTAATTGGTCACCGGTGCGCACATCACATCAATGGCCGAGAAACAGGTCGAAGAGGACGTTCCGAACCCTTCACAAAGCTTGACATGTCCACTGTGTCTTGGTATCTTCGACGATGCAACCCTCTTGACCTCTTGCGGACATACCTTCTGTCGACCCTGTCTCCGGAAATATGACCTTTCCCACCAGGATCTTGATCACATGGTCTGCCCTCTCTGCAGGGCAGTGACGAAGTTGTCCACAAACCGGGTCGACGATCTCCTCCCCAATGTGACGGTCAACGGACTCGTGGACGACCACCGCGCCAGGTCTGGAGGGGCCAGTGCCATCCTGAAGATGCGGCAAAAGTGCACTGTCTGCAACCTTCAGGTAGAGGCCATCGCTTTCTGCAGTACATGCGATGCATACATGTGTGATCAATGCTGCGTTGGCCACAAACAACTGAAGCTGTTCTTCGACGGTCATGAGATCGTATCTATCCATGATATCGTTGAGGGAAATTTCAAACCTGGTAACCGCTCCGAGAAATGTTCCGCCCACAGACAAGAGAACAAACATATTTTCTGTCAGGTTTGTAAGATACGCGTCTGTTTCAAGTGCGTCATCATCGATCATCGAGATCACAAGATACAATCACATGAGGACTTCGAAAAGGAAATACAGGTTAAGGTACGTAGTCCAATGGCAGTCATTCATGAACGGTTTTAAATATATTGTTCACTCGAATATCTATTATTCTTAACATATTACCCAAATGTACACCGTTGCCAAATGAAATTATAATAATTGTGCCTTTCCTCTTATCGTAACAATACGATTTATTCTTGATAGACTGTAATGATCATAGAGATAGATCTATAACGGTCTAGGGAGATATCAACGTTATACAAAAATAAATCATATAATCTCAATCATTTCATGAAAGGATTATAATAAAATATTTCAACTATATGAGCAACGGTGTATGCTGTCTCAAACCGTGCTCCATAAAGTTTCCAACCTTACCTGAACGGGCCTTTACAGTGGTGATTAAAAAATGTGATCGGAATTTCAAATTTGTTTTGCTTCCCTTTACTACTTTCGTTCTTCAGGTGAGCGATCTTCTCCATCGTTGTAAAGCAAAGAAATCAGAACTGGAGAAGAACATTCAGACTGTGGAGACACATCGTCATGAAGCACACACTGCTCTTCAGCTACTACGTGCAGATGTCGGCCGGGTCTGTCGTACCAAGGTCAAACAACTAGAAGACAACCGATGTGCACTCGTTGAGAAGATCGATGCTCTGGTGCGTAGTTTTGATGAAGCCCTCAACAGTGTCAAATCGAAGGACGAACGGAAGATCAAGAGCATTTTTAGTTCGTTAGATCTGGTGGCTAATGACAGACTAGGATGTCTTGAGGCGGACAGTCTGGATGCTCACACGTTCCTTTGCGAAGAGATCGACGGCTTGCTAAAGGAAGTTCTTGATCAAACCTCTGCATCAGCCATAGAAGAAAAGGCACGGAAGCAGAGGTTCACTCCTGCAGAAGACACCAGTCTTGACCTTGGGAATATATCAGAAACAGAGGCTAAGCCTGCACTAGATGGCATACTGAAGGGCGCTTCCGATGACACTTCTGCAGCAACCATAGGAGAGGAAGCCCAGGAGAAGAGGTCCCAATGGCCACAAACACTGGTCAGACCACAGCTCATAAGTCAACCTAAACCATGTGTCATTGACATTAAGAGTGTAGGTCTACGTGACAATTTTGAAGCGATGACAAAATACAACAATAACTCAGTGGCAATCACATATCGGAAGCCACATGAAATTGATATCTTTAGTTCAGATGCAGATGTACCTTGGAATTATTCCCAATTTCCAAACGGAATGAAATGTTATGATCTTGTGTTTCAAAGTGACATGACTCTGTGCGTATCTACAGGTCAGACAAAGGTACACAGGTATTCTCGAAATGGCGCTCGGAAATCTACCACCGGAGTGACAAGCAGTGGACATTTTGTAAGGTTGAGTAGGAGTCAATCAGATGAAATTCTCATGACTCAACATTCAAATCATGTCTCCATCTACGACCGCTCGGGAAACACACTCAAACACAATGTGCAAACTACACACGAAATCACTTACCAGACATCTGCAACGAAGTCGGGTTTGATCGTCACAAATTGTTCTTTGAGGAAAACTAAATACCCAAGGATGGTGATGGTGTATGACAGGGATGGGAATTCCGGGAGGTATCTACAATCTCCACAGGGTGTCCACCTGTATCACGCCGTGGACGAGCAGGACAGGGTGTATGTAGCAAGTTTTGATCAAAACACCGGACAAGTGCTGATCAGGCTCTATGAACTTGATGGTCTAAACCTGAAGGAGAGAGGACGGTTCAGTCCACTGGAAGTGAAAGTAGGTCATGCATTATGTCGCATGGTTTCTCTCACTCCACAAACACTTGCATTCGCTTCTTTAAATAGACTCTATTTCTTAGAAGTTAAATTGTAATTGGTCCAGTTTGATTCCATGGTACCTTTCAGTACAGACCCTTTTGGATGTTACTGTAAGTGTAAGTCACTGGTTCAATAGCAAGAGCGTCGCACTTAACCATGCCAATACAGACTTTCTTCACGTACTTCTAAAGATAGTGGTATAATGATTCGATGACCTAATGTCACGAAATTGTAAGTGTTATTATAAATACTAATAAATAAATATCAAAAATAAGAGTTGGTTCTTGTACTGCGCTCATGCCTGTCAAACCTGACACTCTTGGCGCTTTATAATTATTACCCCGGCTTTAGCATGGCTGCCATTATGGCGCTCTAGCATTTTAAGAACTTAATTTCTGCCATTTACCTCACCTGAGTCGAGTGTTGCAAATGTTGATAACGTCTTACAAAAGGTCATTAGTGTCGTGGTGGGACTCGAACCTTGAGATCCACATGCAGTCTCAGTCACCGATCCACTAGATCACGGCACATCAAAGTACAATAGAAGTACGATAATTGACAGGCGATGAAGAAACATTTATGACTCAAGTGGAGAGGTATAAAATATTTTTGCCATAGTTGGGAATCAAGATTTGAATATATGTTTTAAGCATGTTCTCAAGTACATGTATACATGGGGAATGTTTCACAAACACTAAGATCGACTGTAAATTGGACTTAACTATGGCAGGCCATTCATGCCACTGGTTTCTCTCACTGTTGGTCTCTCAATGATGGTCTTTAGATAATACCTTTTCCTTCAATAATGAACTATCAAAAAATGTAAGCTCTGTAGATTTGTGACCACGATTTATACGTCCCTTGATCGAGAGAACAATGCCAGTAAATGGTTAGAGCAAACAATGGCTTGAACGGCATACCATAGTTAAGTCCAACTTAAAGTCGATCTTAGTCTTTGTGAAACATCCCCCTGGAGGCATACTCACTATGAACATGACAGACAAAGAAAACGGACAAAATATACAGTTCCTCAGGTAGACGAAGGAACATCCCTTCACTGCTATTATGTAGAAAGGTAAATATGCATGTGACACCTGTTCTACACATTTTTACATAATAGCAGTGAAGGGATGTTCCTTTGTCTACCTGGGGAACTGTATATTTTGTCCGCTTTCTCTGTCAGTCATATTCATAGTGACTAGTATGCCCATATGAACACACAAGGCAGACTTTTGTCGGGCTCCTGCCCCTTTTACCCCCTTGGATGCAAAATTGAGTACAGCTGTGATATTGAAAATGAAATATGATATGTAAGTGTGTAAATATATAAGGTAGAAAGTGAAACAAATTCACACCAAGAACATTTTTTTCCTTTGTATTAATTTTCCCATTAAAGGGATAGTTGATTTCCTGTTTCAGACTGCAAATGCCTTCAAAGTGCATGGTTATTGATCTTATTCTTATTTATGACATTTCTAGAAATAGTTAAATTTATGAATATTTCATAAATATTTCGATCAAACAAAGATGATTATGTCATTTAAATTGTTTGTTGTTCCAAATTGGACACTCCATTGTCTCACAAGCAAATAATTTGTGTAGCTCCCTCTGCAACCAAACCAAATACGACCTTTTTGGCAGCTGAAATGTACAAATATACAGTAAGCTGAGTGTTTAATTAAAATTATATGCATATCTGAATCTGTCTATCTGACATATATATATAGCCTTACATTTTGTATTGACAGGGCATATATATATGCGTATAAAGGCCACTTTCACATTATTACCTCGTGTGTTTCTACTTTCTTGGTTGAATTTCCATGGACATAAAACTGCGCCAGTTACACGTATGAATAATCAGAGCCATCGATATTCAGAATTTGGCCAACCACAGTGGCGGATCCAGGGGGGGGGGGGGTGCGATTTTTCAAGGGCCCCCCCCCCAAAAAAAAATAAAAAAATATTTGTAATGATTGTTTAATCAGTCTGTTGTCTGTTGGGGGGGTGACCCCTAACCCCCCCCCCCCCTAGATCCGCCCCTGGTTACACGCATCTACGCGTATGCGAGATGGGCCGCAGGTTAAATCATGGAGCTTCATGAAATGCCTGACAAATCAGAAGCAACTTCGGTTGGACGTAACTATCTATCTCAATAAACAGCAGGCTTGCGGGTGCACCATGTGTGTGTGTGAGAGAGAGAGAGAGAGAGAGAGAGAGAGAGAGAGGGGATTGAGGAGTCCTGAAGAAGGACTCTCGGTAATCTTTCTTGAGGGTGTGTAGTCCTGAAAAGGACTTTTTGTGTAGTCTATCTCAAGTAGCTCAGGGTAACCATGTTGTGCCCACGTGAAGATGGATTTGGCGCTGATAAACGTTGGAGAGCCGGGAGCGTCCAGGCTTGACGGACAATGAGCTCTGTACCAGATCTAGAATCCGCCATTATTATTATTATCGTCTGTCCCATTGTGTAGCCAGACACGGAGTTGGAGACAAATGTAAGTAAACAAACAGAATCATAGTCAGAAAAATGAAAAGAACTTCGTTGTTACACAGAGCATTGTATTCGCTGACGAACTTTGGACCTCAAATTAACTAATGCTCGAGGAGCTTCAGAACGAGCATGTTGTTGCTTTTCAAAAGAACGAAGGATTATTTAATGAAAGTTTATACATGGGGCTGATTGAGACATTATATCATATCTATCTACAGAATTATTTCATGTTGTCTAGAGAATAACCGGGTCCCCAATAAGCAAAATAATTTTCAGTCTGCAAAGCATCACTGGAAAATGGTTAATAGTGATTCATTTATGCCAATGAATGAAATAAGAAGTAACATTCGTTTTGTTCTCATGGACAAAAATGCATATTTACCATCAGTTTTTTTAATTGTTATCATTGAAACTATGCCAATAATTAAGTGGATGTTTTTACGATGTAATTAAAGTAAATTGGTTAACCCAGGCTCGCAGCTTGCTTGTCCTTAAAACTTTTGTCATCTGCCTGATATTTCTTTATCGTGCTCTCTCTCTCCCCCCCCCCTCTCTCTCTCTCTCTCTCTCTCTCTTATATGTATGTATATTGTAATGAAGTACATGTGAACGTCTCTTTCTCCATTTATATTAAAGATTTGTTAAGATCAAATATTCCCCTCTCACTCTGTCATCTCTCTCTTGTTTCTCCCTCGATCCCCACCCTCTCTCTTTTTATCCTTGTAAATATACTAAAGAAAATATCCTCTACAGAAAATCGTTACCATATGAGTTTCATGCTGTGTCATTAAATCAATAACGTCCCATGATGAGGAACATTATGATAAATCAAATAAAATTAGTGTATACTTCCTCCCCATGAAAAGTGGCGCTGATACTTCCCTAATTCTATTTTCCTCCGTCTTCTCTATCTCTTTAATCCCTATCTCTTCAACTCCTTCCCGCCTTCCTTCCCCTTACCCCCTCTCTCTCTCTCTCCCTCTGTGTTTATATCTCTCTTTCTCTTCCTTTTCTCTTCTCCTTCCGCCCACGTATCTTATTCTCCTGTCTTTCTTCCAATTCCAAATCTCTCTCCTTAATTCTTTCTCCATCCCCTTTACCAGTATTTCTCTTTTCCCCGTCTTCTTTATCTATTTCCTTTCTCTTCATCTCCCTCCTTCTCCCCCTCTCTTTTCAACATTTCTACCTCCCCCTCTCTCTTCCCTTTTTCTTAATCTTCCTCCTTCATTCTGCTCTCTTTTCTTCTGTTCCAGTCTCTCTCTTCTTTCCCTATTTCTCTCTTCCTTCCCTTTACCAATTTCCTCTCCCTCTGTCTTCTCTGTCTCTGTGCACCTTTTCTCTTCATTATTCTTTCCCCCTCGCTCTTTTCTACTTGTTTATCACTCTCTCTCTCTCTCTCTCTCTCTCTCTCTCTCTCTTTTCCCTTTCATTTCTCTTCCCCTCACTCCCCCTACCCTTCCCCGCTCTCCTCTCTCTCCAAAATCACATTCTCTTCCTCCCTCTCTCTAAACTTTCTCTCCCCCTATTTTTCCGAACAAACACATACTCATCAACATCATTACAAATATTTGAAGGAAAGAGGCACTGGCACTGATCATAATTTGTGTGCAGTGTAATATCTATATAACTTCACATGAATTAGGCACAGTATAATAGGTCACTTCGAACATACATACATGTATACATATATCATTATATACCCCTCCCCCCCCCCCCCCGAAAAAAGAGATGTAAATTTCTTGAGATTTATATATATATATATATAGGGGTGTCCGAATTGAACTAATGTATACTACAGTCTGTATGCATAAACCCTATGTAACATCTCCAACATTTTGGGGGTCCGGACTCAAATTTTGGGGTCCATCCTAAAATGTTGGGGTCCGGACTAAAATCTTGGGTGCCCAAGCATCATCCCACACACCCGTTAGTGTGTAGTGTCGAGACCTGATTAATCCTTTCTGTGAAGTATTTAACAACCCAAAGAATCACCTTATTTCAAATCTATTTCAATTATGAAAATTTCTTTTCTTCTACCTTGAAAATCAAAATTGTGTAAAGTTGGATACAGAACAAATATTTTCTTTCAAGATATAGAATATGAAAATATGAACCACAAGTAGAGACTTGTCAGATGATAACATTTTTTGCGATGCTACAATCAAATCTTCATGTAAAGCCTATACCCTTAAGAGGAAAGTATGGCCATTTTTCTTGGTCATATTGGATACAAATAATAATAATCACCTGGATTTATATAGCGCTTAATACGAATACCGTCTCCAAGCACTTCACAGATATTATTACCCCTGTCATCAGATTCGTTCATGAACAATGTGCACCATCTCCACTCCCTGGGGAGTGTTCCTACCATATGGTCACCGTGAGGGCATATGGCAATCACTAGCAAAAGGCTTTTGTCATTCTACCAGGTCCCCATTTCTTTCCTGGGTATGGAGTGTCAAATGTAGATTAAAGCCTTGTTCAGATCGGCAGCAGTTAACAGATGCATTTTTTTCCCCATGATGACGTAAACTGTCATACACCTTGCATTTCCCATCTTGAAAAACATATTTTTAAGTGAATATGCATAGGAGCTTTGCTGCCTGCAGATGCCATTCAAATTTTTCACACATAAAACCCACAGCACTTTTTTTTTTGCGGTGGTTTACCATGACACATCTGAAACAAACTTTAGGGTCTAGAGATATAAATATAAAATACTTTGACTGGATATACTCACATTTCAAATTTATATCAACAATAAATGCATAAATGTTCTCTTGACACTCCTAAATCTTTTAAGGACGATCGCGTGTTATAAGCATTCCAACACATACATTGTCTTTATAATTCCATCGTGAACACATGACAATATCAATTAAGACTACCGGTACATTTATCGAACCATACAAACCACTCATAATATGGTTAAATGAATATATACACTGAGAATAATGATGATCGATATATATTTAGGTTTAACAAATACTTAACAAATACAACAGTAATATACAACTTGATTGCACAATTTTTATCCAAGATTATGACAGCAAGGATACAGATGAATTTATAAAAACTTGAACACAATTAAAAGCTCAAAATATCATTATCAAGGTAAACACCCGTTTTCTTAATTGTAGATTAGGGATTAATCAAAAATAGTGGAAAAATTATAACATATCGTCGCTGTTTTCCAAAGTGACGGTAGTGAAAACAAAATGCATTCACTTTGCGTGACGATTTTCCTCACTACCGTCACTTCGTGAAAACAAGGACGATATGGTCACAAAGCCTCGCAGAAGTTAACCTGAGGGCAATTTTTTAACAGCCTCTATCATCTATTAAAATTCACAAGCATTACAATAGTTTGAAATAATTTGTTTAGGCAAATAGAATTGAGTTGATTTCTTGATAGTCTTTGGAGTTGTTTATCTTATTATTATTAAAAAGTGTGAAGTCTGCAATATTTATTTCTAAATTTAGCAGCGTAAATAATGATTATTAATCAAAGCACAAGTTAAGGTGATCAAGCATACGTATTGAATACCATGTATACATGTAAATATGAAATAAAGCTCCCAGCATACATTTTAAGAAAATGTTAAGGCCAAGTTTTCAGCTCTTGGTCAACGTCTTTCAACCAGTGCAGCCACTACCCTAGCCACCAATCAAAAAGCGGTCACAACTGTGTAATAATTCCAATTAGATTGATTTTTCTGATGTCTGTGTACATTTTCTTCTTTTTTTTGGATTTCAATTTGTATGTCAAGCCCCACCCATCAGTTGATTCTGACTGAAAATTGGGATCGATTTTGGACAAAAATCAAGTAATATAAATCGTAATTTTGGGGCATAAGGGTGACCGAAATGACCACATTGTTGTTGATGGGGGTCCAATTGACCACTTTTTCTAAAGACATGGAACCACCAACCAGGCTCAGCAGTCAACGCAAAAGGAACAGCCTACTTCAAGGAGGCTGCTGTACCCTTCATTAGATTCATGTAGCATCCTGTAGGCTCTCACATAGTTTTAGTTTACTGGCATGGGTTTTACTGGCAGTATATTTAGCATATTTTACTGTACATTGATAAAGGTGTTTTGTCTACACACCATTTCTGCACTTCAGGACAAATAGTTCAAATTTATTATTAAATATGCTTTGGTACTCATGGTTTTCAAAAAAGAAGCCAAGAAATGATGATAGCAGCCCAATCGTTAATTTGTTCATTAATTATGAAAAATATATTCATTTCTGCAAAATTTCTACACCGATAACATTTGAAAACGTTTCCAAATCTTGGATAAACACACGTACATGTACATTTCTTAGTGATCGCCACAGCACACATATGTAATTAATATAAAAAGCACACACATACACAATCGTGATCAGCATTTAAACCCTGTATAAACATATAAAGCATAAGGAAAAAATTGATGTGTGATCTGCAGAAGGGCTTTGGAAGAGTATATAATCTCATAGCTCCACATATCAGGAAGAATCCACCTTTAGGATAACTTGGGCTTAAGCAAAGCAGGAAAAAAATCAGAAAAACAGAATGGTTTAGGTTTGTACGAAAGTGGAAATATAATCAGAAAGTTATGGATGTCTAACCTGTGAGATCACTGTATCTACATGAATCTCAAATCAGTAATTGGGTCAGTTGATGAGAAATTTATGGCCAACTGTCCCATTAATTTTGTTGTACATTAAAACATTATTCATTTTTATTTGTCGTCTCACTAACATTTTTTTTTCTGCTTGCACTTTATCAACTTATCACAAAGAGTGCTTTTCCATTGAGCATTACCTTAAAGACTTCTCTCCCTGAAACCATTTGACGGAACACAATGGCATAAATTCTGAATCTCCAATGCCCAAATTAGGAATACAATACAATTTGCATGCTTTTACACAGAATATTTCAGTAAAAGAGAAGGAATTTAGGGGTCCAAACGTAGATTTCATAGTCATAAGAGAGGAATTTTAGATCCCAAATTGGAAAGGTTGGGAGTTATACAACATGTATACACACACATATTGTTGTACAGGTAATTTTTTTTAGCACTGGATAAGAAAACAGGAAAGGGAGTTAGTACAGTCAAACCTGCATTAGCGACCACTTGAATAGAAAGACCACCTGTCTACAAAGAGCTAATTTATTGTTTCCTTAGAAAATGGTTTCTCATTGAAACATATATTAAAGCATCCTGTACATAATGACCATCTCCCTATAAAGACCACTTTTCGTGTCTCACTTTATACGCAGTCTTTAGTAAATACAGATTGCACTGTATTAAGAGGATGGCTCTGTCTCGAATGCAGAGGTTCCTAGTCTGAAACCAAAGTCAATGTGCTTGTGCCCTTTTAAAAGGCATTGATCTGCAATAGCTGACTCTCTCAGAAAGCACTAGCAGTGCAGGTCCATGAGTTGTTTATCTTTACTGATATACATGTAAAGACAGCTTATAAAGGCTTGCTGACAGATTTCAGTTTTATTTTTCTGTAAGTGAAGCTAGTGGGGATGGAAAAAAGTACTTGCGCACAATAAAGGTCCTACGCATTACACAGATACATCTAGGAGAGATTTATTTTTACTTGCACTTATCGGCACATGCACCCTACCCTTATGACACATACTACCTCACAGTACCTCCCACTACCGCACTGAATTGACATAATCAATACAGTACTTGAAAAATAGTATTTGGTTTTTGCTCAATTATTACTCTGAACTTAACGCAACATAGAGTATTTTTAATCACTTCATTCTTTTAATGAATCTTAATCATTATTGTATGCGGGTATAACAAAACCTCAGGGAGTTTGGCGTCCCTGCCATGCACCTTGTGGTTTAGGTTCTCTTTAAAATCTAAGGCTAAGGGAGCAAACCCTAACAGAAAACCATGCCACCGTGACAGCATTTAGGGCGATTGACGATACAGAACTCCTGACATCCTACGACTAGTCACTGCAGGGTCTAGTGGTTCACACCCTTCCTGGCTTGTCCTCGCCGGTGTGAAACTGCCACCAGTTCCCCAAGAAAGTGCCATTAGTTAATTGTACGAGCTACCGGTACTTATCAACCTTTGCAAACAGCCTTCATGATCATGTTATTTAAAAATGAAGGCAATCATGGTCACTTTGCGACAGACAACTACTATACATGAACAGGCACATCTCATATGAGCAACTACAAGTACCTGTACAGAAAGACCACCTGTCTATTAACAAAACACATTTTTGTTTCAACTGACCATATTTCTTAGTGAAACATGTGTTAGAGAGAACCTGCATATAAAGACCATCAGTCTCTCCAGCCTTTTGTTTCCAATGACTGTGTTCTTTTAACAGTGAAACATGTGTGAAAGAGAACCTGCATATATAGACGGCATGTCTCTAATGACTGCCTTTCATATCGAATTTGGGCAGTGTATCTGTTCAGGTGTGACTGCTCTAGCTGTCTCAGCAGTCAGGTAGACAAAAACAAAAGCACAAAATTCGCACCAACTTCATCACCAGCGGACTAGGCTGTACAATTATACGAACACCATTAATGTGCTATACTGATACCAACAAATGTGTCGTAACAGATAAACATAGTTACACAACAGTGCAAGACACCAGTGCATGGTCTTTTATGGACCCGTTTCTAATTTAGGGCATCTGGATTACAGCCCAAGGATACCCTCGCAGTTTTGGTCGGCTCGACACGATCCACCGCCCGCCATTTTCTCCGGTAACCACACAAACTCCCGCACTTCCCTTTGGGTTGACGGTGCACAGTGGACGATGCCTGAAAAAATAAGAAAAGAGGGTATCAAGTTTAAAATTTAGGTTTAGTTCCTCTTAGCTCCATCTATCTATCTTACTACCTACCTATCTAACAACCAACCTACCCACCTACCTACCGAACTCTAACCGACCAAACTACCCACATACCCCGAACTACTTACCTACCTATCTACCACAACCTACCTAGTATCAACCTACCAACCTACAAAGTACCTACCTACCAACCTACACACCCACCTACCCACCCATCTACCTACCTACCCACCCACCCACCTACCTACCAACCCAATCACCCACCAACCCAACAACCTACCTACCCACCCACCCACCTACCTACCCACCCTCCAACACACATACCTACCCACCCACCAACCTAACTACCCACCCCCTTACCTACCTACATAACCACTAACCCAACTACCACCTATCCTCCTATCCACCCACCTACCAACCTACCCACCCACCAACCCACCTACCTACCAACCAACACACCCACCTACGTACCCACCAAAACACCAACCCTCCTACCTACCTACCCAACCATCTACATACCTACCCAACCACCCACCTACCTAACTACATACCCACCTACCCATCCACCTACCTACCTATCCACCCACCAACCTACCCACCAAACGACCTTCCTACCCACCTACCTGCCCCCAGCCCCGACATACCTACCAACCTACCCACCCACCAACCCATCTACCAACCCACCTACAAACCAACCTACCTACCTACCTACCCACCCACCTATCTCCCACCTACCCACTCACTCACCCACCCACCTACCTACCCACCCACCTACCTACCCACCTACCTACCTACCTACCCACCCACCTACCTCCCACCTACCCACTCACCCACCCACCTACCTACCCACCCTCCTACTAACCCACCAAAACACCCACCTACCTACCCACCAAATCACTCACCCACCCACCTACCAACGCACCCACCTACCAACCCACCAAATCACCCACCCACCTACCTACCCACCCACCTACCCTCCCATCTACCCACTCACCCATCCACGTACCTACCTACCTACCCGCCCACCCACCTACTCACAAAATCACCCACCCACCTACCTACCCACCCACCTACCCTCCCATCTACCCACTCACCCATCCACGTACCTACCTACCTACCCGCCCACCTACCTACTCACAAAATCACCCACCCACCTACCTACCCACCCACCTACCCTCCCATCTACCCACTCACCCACCCACCTACCTACCTGCCTATCCACCTACCTACCCACAAAATCACCCACCCACCCACCTACCTTCCAACTGAGCTACCCACACCCACCAAAACACCCACCTACCTACCCACAAAATCACCCACCCACCCACCTACCTTCCAACTGAGCTACCCACACCCACCAAAACACCCACCTACCTACCCACCAAATCACCCAACCACCTACTTACCTACCCACCCACCTACCTACCCACCAAAACACCCACCCACCCACCTACCTACCCACCCACCTACCCTCCCATCTACCCACTCACCCACCCACCTACCCACCCACCTACCTACCCACCAAAACACCCACCCACCTACCTACCCACCTACCTACCCACCCACCTACCCACCTACCTACCTACCCACCCACCTACCTACCCACCCACCTACCTACCCACCAAAACACCCACCCACCTACCTACCCACCAAATCAACCACCCACCCACCTACCTTCCTACTGAGCTACCCACCCACCTACCTACCAACCTACCCACTCACATACCCATTCACCAACCTACCTACCCACCTACCCACCCACCTACCCACCTACCTACCTACCCACCCACCTACCTACCCACCAAAACACCCACCCACCTACCTACCCACCAAATCAACCACCCACCCACCTACCTTCCTACTGAGCTACCCACCCACCTACCTACCCACCAAAACACCCACCCACCCACCTACCAACCTACCCACTCACCTACCCACCCACCAACCTACCTACCTTCCAAAACACCCACCCATCCACCGAACTACCCACCTACCCACCAACCCACCAACCTACCTATCTATCTACATGTATATATCGACCTATCAATATATCTATACAATTTGTTTACAAAAGTACACACTTTTTATTATATCCGCCTGATTTTTCTCATGAAATTATTGTTGATGGTATTGACAATATCCCCATCAGCCTATCCATATTTATTCATCCATCCTT